ATGCATTCAAGCTTTGTGTATTGTTCACATCCAAGCCAAACGTGTGTTTGTGACTGAAAAACCAAATTCCATACTCTGCGGTCTCGTTCTGTGCGTACTCATTTACTTGTTCCTGTGGTACAACGTACATAGACCGCACGATCGGGTGATTGTCCGAACGGATTCGTGAACACCACCCCGCGTGGCTGAACACCGGAACGATTGAGTCATTCTGATCAGTGCAGTGGTTTCACACCTAGCTGAAACAAATCACACTGTGGACGTGTCCGAGTTCTTTCCGACCCCTGTACAAAGTTCTTGGGCGATTATCAAAGCAGATTCGCTGTCGGATGCTGGCTACAACTAGAAGCGGTGGGCATTCGTCTGCACAACACCCCTATTTGTGCCCAAAAAACATTCGGCAAGCGCTAAAACCTCCCTGGCCCACCCCACACACACATCGCATCACGAGAAATCGCCATGATCGGATGAGTGGACGATTGGTTTGGGTGGGGAAATTGAACATCTGGTGAAATCGATATATTTTAGCAGTGATTGTTCTCAACTACCTGCTGTACGTGGATAAGCGGGTTAGTTTAGGAGGGCCGGTAACGTAAAGCGAACGTGAAGGTTGTTTGAAAAACGAGAAACATTGAAGCTCACTATTGACAATTGTACCAAAGTAGCCCGAGGAATTACTTGGATAACAATTAACATATACACCCGAAAATACAGCGCTATAGTAGTAAGCATGGACACGTAAAAACATAAAAGAAATTTGATAGAATTACCAAAATATCAATTCATTGAGTTACTAAACTTTAAGTAGTTCACGGTATAGCTGAAAGACTGACGGAGTAAACCTGCGCATACACAAAATAATTAGCTGGCTGATAGATCACCGGACTAACTGAGAGAACGACAGACAAACAGACAAATCGACGGACAGATAGACTGATATATTTTATATTTTGTAACAGGATTAAACCAAAATGAATTATAATAATGATAAAACTTGTGTAGCATATTCTACTGTGTTTCAGTTTTAAACCGTGTTTAAATCAGAACGCCATCGGAGATTTCATTGCGATCCGACAAGTATAATACTTTGGCAAACTGTCGCTTGTGAAAGGCCTGCCACGAGGATTTGGTCCGTATGGTCATATAAGACTTAGGGACCTCGAGATTGGTATGATCGACGCTTAGAGAAATGTCCAAATCAGTAGCGCTCAGGAATCTATTCAATGTCTTCCCAACCACAGTAACTCTGATTCTCTATTTCACCTCCATACTATCCCCAACCTTTTGGTTATTATCTCAACCCATTCATTCAAATGGGCAGTCAAAAGACAGTGACCAAATATACCACAAGAAAGTGCAAGGTTATTGGTTGCAAACACCGAAACGGCAACTATAGTTCACTATAGCTTCATGACTCCTAATTTATCGTTTTCCAATAACTAGCTCATATTTTCACTGAACACTGTAGTGCTCGTATGGCATTAATAAGAAAATAAAAATCGATCATGAATCATTCAGTTCTCTGTATCCGGTCAACTAGATGGGACAAGACGATCCGTTTATTAGGAGCAAACTAGATCTCGTTGTTTATGGTGATAATCTTATGGTGGCAACAGTCTACCAAAAGCACGGTAGTTGGATTCATTAGAGAACACACGCTCTATCTGAGTTGACTGTTAAATAAAATCCAATTTCAGAATGTTTGGTCTTTATTTGTTACCCATCTATCCGCACTGGTTTCTCTTACTTATGAAATTTGGTTTCAGTTTGCAATTATTTCTTTTGCCGTATTCACAGAGCAAACGTGCAAATCACGCACAGGTCACATTTATCCTCATACACAGAGTAGACAACTACTCTGATCTAATTGTGATTGCTACAGATCGACAAAGTTCAGCCTTTCATTTGGACTAAATTGCTCAACTCCATCCATGCTCGTACAGTCCACCAATTCGTTCTATCTCATTCGCCTGATCCTCGCAAATATGGTCAAACTCTTGATCATTCTGTCTTCGTATCATCGGCTTTCTTGTACCATTAACAGTTGTCCCTCAGTTAGGAGATCCCAATAACTTGTTAATCGATTGGTTTGTGCTTGTTTCACTGAAAAACATTGTTTGTTGACTCGGCCGTTTGAATAGTTTCCGAACTATCAATTTCACTGTCGTTCATTACAACTACATGCTCATTCAGTTGAGTTGTGATAAGCGTGAAAACCTATCCAATTTCAATTGAATGAGAGGAATTTGACCAAAACATCTGTGCGGCTCCGTGTTTTGGGGGTGGCGAGAGGGATAGAGGAACGGGGGGAGGGGGGTTAAGAAAACGAACCACAGAAAAAATTCAGTCTTTGTAAGAATCGGTCTAACCATTTATTGTGCTGATGTTTTGTTTTGTCTTTCAATGTCAGGAATGATGCCAAAAGCTTTATTTTCCAGCTTATCTCGAAGCTATTGATCATGGAGTCTGTAATATCATTATGTATCTGCAAGGATTAAGGTGTTCAGGTCCATAACCGAGATTTGTATGACCTTTATTTGTTCGGTTCAGACTGGAAAATCCCGACTAAACAGATCGGCTAAGAAATAGTTCACAGTTGAAGCCTGTCGAGACGAAACAGCCCATGGTGCTAATTCAACAGTATCTGTTCCGAAAAAATACAATATCTTTTGTGTTAGGCAAGCAATCTGGCATATAACGCAAACATAAACGCGTGTACAATTCGAATGCCCTTCTTCCCTCTGTGTTTGTCCGTTTGAATGTTCTTCACACAGGTAGGGTTAGCGTAGCAACGTCAAAAACTGGCAAGAATAAGGCTAATAACAATCTTCACCTGTGAAACAACCGACTTCGCCAGACAGACACAAATTTCGGTCAAGAATTATTTTTGTTCCACCTGATATTTTCTTGACCTACATTGATTACGCTGATTGGAGCATGCCTCATGGTTCTCACCATATTACATGAAAGCAAAGATGAGCTGAGTTACGTGGTTTTTGTTCCAAATCAGATCGTGAACTTCAGATGCTATAACAGAATTTGGTGCACGATTGCTTCCTATTAGTTAGCACCGAATCGCCTGTTATTTGAAGTGATCTCACACCCAGAACCCATCCCGCCTGCCTCCGTATGTCGTTAAGCGCAGAATTTGAAAATTCTGACTCTTTCATGAGACGAATCCGTGTCATTGAGGGCGTTCGTTGATAGAATGAGTTTCAACTCAATTTTCATAATTTGATTTTATTAACTGAGCTGTTATGCAATCTTCTTCAATACACGCTGTAATAAGTCTGTGTCGGAGAATATGGACCAGTTGTACCTCATATGAAATTACACGATCAGTGTTAAGGAGGAGAATAAACAATTCGAAGGTTAACGGATGACATAATGTATTGCGAAATTTGGGCCGCGGTGGCACGAATTGAACTGCAAATCCCCTATCCCGATATGGGAATAATCAGCACTACTTGACTACTGCCGTCCTTGAAAATTGATTTGCTCTATGTTTCATTATTAGGACTGTGCTGGTCATTCCAAAGTAGATAGGTCTATCATGAAATTAAATATCCTTCTAGCCGCTTATTTACAGTACTGACCGATTGCGATGCACTAAAATATTTTCTTTCTGATCAAATTGAGTATCATTATATTTACCACTCATACTAATGCTTTAGGTATGAAAAATAATTTATCTCTTGTCTATTTCGATTTTCGTAGTTTATAGGCTTCCGGATTGTCAATTAAACGCACCTGACCTTGGATGCCAAGATTAAATAATCTTAACATGAAAATCGCAAACTTTATCAGGTATGAATGCGCAAGAAATTTAAAAAGAGTAACTCAAGAATTATTTCCATTTATTTCCATAAACCCTTGCTATCTCGGTTATTCGTTATGAGGCATTAGTTTATCTGATGCATAATCCATTATAAAGCAACTCCATTAAATAAAAAAATGAAACTCTTTCACAATCCGCAGAAATTGCATTAAATAAGGTTTGATAATCATAATCTATGTTTGGTAACTAACTCACTGAGTTCGATAAATACCGTGTTCTTCTGAGTCGACTTTGAAATCAAGGTTTTTATGCACAGCTTTGAAAGTTCCTATTGTTTTCACCATAATGAAGCAAACAGCGCTCGAAACCAAAAGTCAAAGGTACTATGAATAAAGGGAAATTTGTATCAGTAATGATAGTGTTTTCAGAATTTCATGAAAAAATCGTCTGGAAAAGTTATCGTTTTTCAGCATAACGCTCCGTGTAATGTTTCACGAGAGGTTAGTAAGTTTATTTAGTTAAGGAGACTGATTTACTTATTATTTGCTTTTAGACTCCAAAAGAAATGTGTGACTATAAGGTTCTTTTCATCAAACTGCCCCCTAATAACCCGGATCTCAGTGTGATTGAAAAGCTGTTCTCTGTTTTGAACAGCGAGCTACATGTGCAACCTGTACATTGGACATCGGAGGCAAAAGTGCGATTCCTAATGGAGCACAAACTAGAAAATGGTGGATTAGATGCTAAAGGTACTCAAAAAAGCCCCAAAGAACAAAGGCAGGCTAATCGACTATTGGTGTACACAAACTTTACATTTTAATTATTATCAATGTTAATTTGTCGTAAATAAAAATTGTTTTATCCTCATCATGGTTTAGGTCAACAACTATTGGTGAAATGGGAGTATTCGCTACATTCTGAACCATTCCATCTGCTGGGTATATACAAATCACGAAACTCACGTCTATAAAGACTCACTAAGGCTTGTTTATTATTAGTTGGCAAAAAATGTACTTCAGTATAAATGCTGTTGCCCAAAACAACCCACAAGTGTTTTGCAGGAACCCTTTGCTTCAGTTTCGCTTAGACCTGTACATCCTCCGTTCATCATGGGAAATACCTTTAGTTATCACTGTTTCATATGTTGTGACCACANGACCACAATTTTCATTTTTTCCACACTCATACACGTTGCGCGCACAAACGCTTACAGGTGGAATGTATGGAAATCCAGACCGCCTACAGTCCGGGCACGTCAAAACGACGACATCCTGGTCTGGTGTTCACCAGTCGCTCGGCCAGACGATCCGGCTATTTCATGGTCAACATGGTCCTGATCAGTTGTGTACTTTGTCTACTCTCATTCTGCATCTTCTCGGTCCCAGTCGAAGGAAATCGATTACAACTGGCCCTTCTGCTTCTCCTGACCACAGTCACTTTCAAATTTGCCGCATCACAGAATCTTCCCAAAATTTCGTATTTGACTTATCTGGTACGTTTTTGACGACAACAACATGTGTCAATCGGTGTAGTACTGATTGCTTCAGTAATTATCCTATTGCTAAGCCATTTTGTATTCTAATAATGATTTCAGAGTGCACTAGTTACTTGATTTAATTTGTATGCATCCGTCACTCGTATTGATTACTCTATCTATCCTCGTCGTCTGCCATTCGTACCCTGTTATTTTACTTGAACTATGAAATCAAAGCGCGAATTATTATTCTTTTTAAAGAGTAGGAACCTCCATCTTGGAACACAATAAACTTGATTATCCTTTGATGGAAACGACTTAATGCAATGCAAACAATTGTGTTTTTTCCCCAAGGTTATACATGTGAGTATTTCCCTCTGGGTCTACCCGTTCGGTCAGTCACCCCCATGTGGACATGTTTGGTTAGTTAAGCATAGAAATCATACAATAGTAATACACCTGTGATGTGTTGGGCTGTAGTATGCAGTAAGTTGTCCGCGGTAAAAGGAAGCTGTCAACCGTGGATTGATGAGCTTGGGAGTGGTCTGGAACCTTCGAAGATTCGACGTGAAAAAGATTCAAAGCAACTGCGATACATTTAGAGGCAAAAGGGTATGGTCACAGGTCTGTCAGAAAAGTCCGAAAGAGACAGACACATCTATTTGTGTTTTTTCAGTGTGTTTCATCAAACCATTGTAGTAAACAAGAAAAGTCTAAGCGAAACATGGCGCATTTATCCCTGATGTGCGTGACCGAATGACTGTTAGGATAGATCGTGTTGAGCACTGTTTGAGGAGGAACCAGTTCTGGAAAGGTCAGACTGACGTGTATGATCTATAATGATACTTCGCGACGAGGCAGTAATCAGGTCTAAACAAACTGTCTCTGCATTCAAAGCACTGTTCGGCTCAGCTTGACCACAATCGCTTTAGCTGTTAAAAAGACTCAGTGCGTTCATCCTTTTTTATCAATTCCACGCTAGCCAAGGCTACGATCAAGTTCTGAGGAACACGAATTTGTAGAATTTTCAGTAGATAAACCGACAAAGATTGCTGGCTTGCAAACGGAACCGGTTAAAAATTTTGAACAACAACAACAATAAGAATAATAAGAGCGTAGGGGTGTTGAGTACGATTGAGGAGGATGTGGGTATACCAATTTCACAGAATACCAAGACCAGGACCGAAGATGATGATATTTTTACTTGTCTCACCGACCACCTTTTCATAACTTTTTCTTTGTTTGCTAATCTTATTATTGGATACGAAATTTCAACAGTTAGACCGTAGATTATTGACGTCACTGACTTCTTTTTTAAGCCACATCTTCCAGTGTCTCAAACCAATCACAAGCGTACTGGCGTGGAACTGAATCTGGAACGTGGGCTGCATCAATCAAAGAAAAATCTTGATGTTTTTATACTCGTACTCCAGATCGTGTTTTGACTGCTGCGTTCTTTCTTTCACTCTTGCCTCCTCTCCCGCAAGCATAAGGAGAGCACGGAGAGCAGCTAGACAATGGGTAGACATAATTATAGCACGACCTGGTAAGCTGAGTTGTTCTAGGGTGATTTCTTTTGTTAGAGGATAATTATTCACAACAAACGCACGAAGACGAATCTAGTCATTGCTCAATTGATGTTCACACCATACATAAAACATGCTTCGAATGCTGCGATGGCCGAATACGGATAGTTAATATGCATCCACATTGCTGATAGGCCAGGTCTCATAACTATATAGCAGAACAGTACGAACCGTGGCAATGTGAACCCTTCCTTTAACCAGAACAAGTCGGATGTTATGGCTGTAAAACAGGTGTCGCAAGTTAGCAAAATCTGTCCTGCTTTTGCTTTTTGTGTTTTATGCTCTTCTTTGAGTCCACCTACCAGCTACGATCATGCTTCCAAGGTACTCAACACAGTCAACCAGTTCTAGCTCGCCATCGACCACAAAGAATGAGTTCGAGCTCAGGCTCCTGTGAGTCATTAACAAAACATTGTTACACATCACGAGTATTTATGTAGAGAAACCTTACCGGACTTCAAAGGAAACGGTAAAGAATGGTGGAAGAAGACCATAGGCCGTACTCATGCCTGAACTAGGACGAGGATTGATACATATTTCTCAGTTGCACCACTTTTCCACGCACAGTTTCATACCACTGTCCGACTGACGGAATCGAAGGTTGCGCGAATGCCCGGGAATAGGATGATCGTTTGTCATTGTGAAGCATGATGGTTCTCTAATGATTGTTTGAGGGTGAAGATTTGCGATGAGGTATATGCCCTGTAGTTGGCGCAATCACTGCGCGGGTCGTTCCTAAAGATGGAAACTGCTTCTAATCTTACAATCGATCCCCACAATAGGATTGGATCTGCTGAGTGTTCCACATCTCAGAGGAAAAAACCAACGGTTATCTAACAAGCTTTTTTCAGCCGTCTGTGTAATTAGCCGGAGGATAGCTCCTGAAGCCATGTGCTTTGTGACGCTTCCTTGTGGATTTTCTACTCAAGCGGTCTACAGAGACATACCATGTTTCAGAATGTTGATATGAAAAGTTGACTTTGGTAGTCAGTGGAAATACCTCAAATCGTTCTGCCAGCGAGGGAGATCACTATAAATTTCACCACCTTTGTGTAGGCTTGTGTTCAGTTCATGTTTAGTTAGAATGAGTGTTTCATTACTCTCAACACTGGTCGCAATCGATCAGGTTATGAAGGAGCAGGGACGGTGGGAGTCGGTGTTAGGCCAGAGTTAACTGCGTCCGTAAAATTTAGAGCATTCTTGATGAACGACCAGTGCTGACTGAGAGTATCAGGTGGGAGTGATAGCAACTTCAGTTAGCGCTTCTTGAAAGAAGGTTGAGCATTCTGGCTGAGACAGCTTATTGCAGTATAACTGTCGCAGTGTCGTGCGCGTTGAACGCCCATCGAAGCACATGAATAGTCTAGTGCGGACCAATACACGTTCGAATTTGAGGGACGTGATGCAGTACGATTGACAGCCCTACGTGGTACTCTGCCACTTACGGCTTATATCAATTTTGGCATCCACTACTGACTCCAGAATGGAAGATACCAAGTGGCATACCTACCATTGGATCGTCTGAAGTTTGTACTGCCGATGTCTGTACTGGCGAATGTCAGGCGATTCGATATCCGAAGCTTGCAGTGTTGCTAGTGTCAGGACTACGTTAAGTATCAAGGCTTAACGCTCGCCTCTTGACTGGATTCCAGTCAGTGACCGACTGTGCGCAATACGTCTCAACAGTTCAGCACGGGTCAACAGAACGAAGCGTGAATGCTCATTTGTCGTATTGATTTATGCACCGACCGATTGCAGTACACCTGAAATCAAGAATGAATTTTACAAGGACGTTTCTCAATTACTCCAGATCGTTCGATCAACGGACATCGTAGTAGTCACCGAAGATTTCAGTGCTCAAGAGGGATCACTGGAAGAATCATGAAGGTTTCTTAGCGGAACATATGTCATCCCAGCCAACCGGACGGACAACGGAGATCGCCTATTTCAACTCCGCGGACCACGGATTGTTCCTGTGAAGCGCCAACTTCTCGCACAAGAAACAACACCGCCTTACATGGAAACCTCCGACCTGTTCACTGCGCTGGACCCAAATCGACCACACTGCCATCAGTTACCGCTGGAGGGGGTCGATTGAAGACTGCGGCTCTTACTGGTCAACACCTGTATATAAGGATCACGCTTTGCTATGAACAAAGCCACTGACAACGGATACCCACAATACAAAATCAGCGATTGCTGCAAATCGGCCTTTGAAGCGGAACTCTCCGATCGCCTGTCAGTTCAACCACTAGCAGAAGGACTCAATGAATACTGGAATCAGATCAAGTAAGCTATGTAAATATCAATAAAAACAACTTCGGACCCTCGAGCAGGCTCAAAACACAAACGATGGATCTCATCGAGCTCGACTGCCCTGCTTGGCGTTTACAGAAGCCTTCCTTCTGATGCCACATAGGAATGCGCCCAAATCTCCTAAACACCAGCTCGTCAAAAGTATGAGGAATGACCGCGAAAAATGATGGAGATGGAGAAGGCTGCCGCTATTGGCAATAATCGTGATCTTTTCCGTTTAATTAGAAACACAGGTCCCAGGAAAATAGGCCTGAGCGATAAAATTAAGGAATCCAATAGCAGAGTGATTGACGATCAACAACGCCGTCCTGATCGATGGGCTGAACACTTCGAGACTCAGTTCATCTGGCCCCCACTGACACAAGACCTATCACCTCGACTGGGCAAACACCCCCAGTTGATTCCAGTTCTCCATCTGAATTGAAAGTTTCTCGGGAAATAAGCTACCTGGAAAGGCACACGACTTCCGGCCCAGACGGGCTGTCACCATTGATTTTTAAGGATGGAGGTTGAGCATTGGTTTCGGAGTTAACAAAACTCCTGGGCTCAGTGTGCGAGAAGCAACAGGTTCCAACTGAATGTTTAGA